GAAAAGGATGGTACGGCCGTGCCGCTTTTTTGCTCGACTTGGTGGGGGCACTGCCGTGCCCCCGGATTTAGTAATTGGGATTCAAAAAGTAATTGTCATGATTACTATAATCTTACTATACCTAAGTCAAAGTTCTTTACTCATGTGGTCAAAGATTGTATATTTTGTCACCTGTCGCAGTTTAAGTACTAAACATGAAATTTACTTGGATGGCTAGAATAACGTAAAAAGTCATAATAATTACACTCCGTAAGATTAAATAACAATGCATGCTTATTTATTTCATAATTATTTTTATTTATTTACTTATTAGGAATAACCACAGCCGATACATAACATTAGATTTTTTTTTTAAATCCTTAAACTATTAGGCCAATTTTATAGCTTAGCCTAGAATAGATGGACTTCACGTCGAACTTTGATTCGTGCCGGGGTACCGTTGTAGTGGGCATCGCTATTGCGAGAAGGTAGCACTGCTCAGTTCACTCTTGATTTTATTCTTCTTATTATCAATATTCCACTGTTATGCCTCTGTACTGTACCTACCTTTCTATCTTTGTGTGGTGTTCATTGTAATAAATGTTTCTTTCTTTATTTTTTTGATAGGTAAGTGCTTACTTTAAGTAGGTACATTGTCTACAAGTACATTAAAACACACTAGCCGCCAGCCGATACACTAACTAGCTTACTTTATCGTCTAGCGGCGACATGATGGATAAGATACAACAATGAGTATGTATAAACATAGCGTTCTGTGTACGCTCCATCAGAATCTGTAGTGACAACATGAGGAGCGGTCTGGTGCTGTGTTTGTGCCTGTGTCTGGGCGCGCGGGGCGAGGGCGGCGAGCGCGAGGCGCGCCTGGTGCGCAGCCCGCAAGGCCCGGTCAAGGGCTACAAGGACCCCGGCGACAGCATATTCGTCTTTTACGGGATCCCCTATGCTACAGCGCCTACGGGAGCTGACAGATTTAAGGTACCTACTTATATTTATAAACTAATATTGAAGTTAACATAATATTGAGGGAGATTTCATTAGGTGCGGTGCGAATGCGAATGATTATATGCGCCTCAAAATGGGAGCGCCTAGTTTTCCTAATTGATAAATCTTTATCATTATTATGTACCTACTATCAGTCATTCTATAATCTAAATTGATACACGTTTTTGAAGTCAATTCTTGCACAGGTAGTTCGGTTATAAAGTTAAATACACACGGTACTCACGCAGTAAAATTAAACTTTAGGCCCAGTTTCCACCAAAGCGGAGCGGAGAAGTGACGGGCCGTCAAATTTTTCTATAGAATTTGACAGTGGCGGTGGCTAGGGATGTTATTAAACACATAAATAAATATACAGTACTTTACGTGCAATTATTTGTTTCAGGCACCTCTTCCTGCCCCAGCGTGGTTAGAGCCTTTAGAAGCGGTAGATGATACCATTATATGTCATCAAGCTACGCTTAATAATGATATTTTCCCAAATAAGACTAAACAAGAAAACTGTCTCGTGGCAAATGTTTACGTCCCTGACACCGACCAAAAACAACTACCCGTCGTCGTCTATGTGCACGGAGGAGCATTCCAACTCGGCTTTGGAAATCTGTGTTTACCCAAAAATATTATTTGTTACAGGCGCCTCTTCCTGCCTCAGCATGGTTAGACCCTTTGGAAGCCGTAGATGATACTATTATATGTCATCAAGCCACGCTTAATAATACTACGAGTATGTTCCCAAATAAGATCGAAAAAGAGAACTGTCTCGTGGCAAATGTTTTCGTCCCTGACACCGACCAAAAAAAACTACCAGTTGTGGTATATGTGCACGGAGGAGCATACCAACTCGGCTTTGGAAATCTGTTTCTACCCAAAAACTTAGCAAGAAGCAAGAAAGTCATTGTAGTAACATTCAACTATCGCCTCGGAGTTCACGGATTTCTTTGTTTAGGCACTGAAAAGGCACCAGGAAATGCTGGAATGAAAGATCAAGTAGCACTTTTACATTGGGTCAAAAAGAATATAGCAAGCTACGGGGGAAACCCAGAAGATATGACCATAGCAGGCTACAGTGCCGGCTCTTCAGCCGTCGATCTGTTAATGATTTCGCCCACTACAAGAGACTTATTCAATAAAGTAATTCCAGAAAGTGGATCTAACTTAGCCCCTTGGTCAGTTCAAATTGACCCCCTAGAAAATGCAAAAACCTTTGCTAGATCCATAGGCTTTGAAAATGTAGATGACGTGTACGCTTTGGAAGAGTTCTACACTACAGCGAGCTATGACGTGTTGACATCGGACCCCTTTTTTGACAGAACTGATTTTACTTTTGTGTTCTCACCATGTATAGAGCGTAATACGGAAGGTGCTTTCCTCACTGAGTCCCCATACAACATTTTAAAGAATGGCAACTATAGAAAAGTGCCATTACTTTACGGTTTTGCTGGAATGGAGGGTTTACTGCGAATTGATTTATTTGATTTGTGGAAAGATAAAATGAATGCGAATTTCTCTGCTTTTCTACCACAAGACTTACAATTTGAAAGTGAAGAAGAAAAAGCAACAGTGGTCCAAAAAATCAAGGAATTTTATTTCGGTAAAAAACCAGTCAATGGAGATGAAGAATCTGTATTATCTTACATAAATTTTATGTCAGATTTATATTTCACATATTCTACTTTAAGAGCTGTGAACATGCACGTAAAAGCAGGACATGACAAGATATTTTTGTATGAATACAATTTTGTTGAAGATTCTACGCCTGTCATACCCTATACCAAGGACCAGCGAGGAGCCAACCATTGTGCTCAAACTAGTGCTGTATTTGACGCACCTAATTGGCTAAGTCAGAAAGACGAGAGCAGTATCTCAGAGGATCTGAAAAACATGAAGAAAGTAATTAGAGAACTATGGCTTAACTTTATGACAACGGGGTAAGCTATCCTCAATTGAATTCCAAACATTTTAACGCTCAGTATTTACTTAAACTACATAATTATTTTGCCTATTCCCAGGAGTCCGGTGCCGGCGGGCTCCGCGCTGCCCGCGTGGCCGGCGGCGGGCGCGGGCGGCGCGCCGCACATGTCGCTGGCGCGCACGCTGCGGCTGCGCGGCGCGCTGCTGGAGGAGCGCGCGCGCTTCTGGGACGCCATCTACGAGCGCCACTACCGCGCGCCCGCGCCGCCGCCACCGCAGCCTGCTAGACATTCCGAGCTTTAAAACTTAATAAAATAAAAATTTTATTTAAGATATTATAGAAAAAACCAAAATATTTTGGTTTTTCAAAAACATTTTTTTAACTATTTAATTACCAATATCAATTACCTAATCTCAGTTTAGTTTATATTCATTTACCATATCTAAGTGAAATGTCCAAGAAAGCAAATATCAACACCTGTATAAAAGGCAACCAGTGTTATTATAAAGTTATACTCAGAATATGAAACGGGGCCTAAAATAATATGCATGTAAGCAAAATGCTGCGAAGTAGGTATTCTAACATATTTAGCACTTCTGTCAAGTTTTGTTTAAATAAAAGTAAGGCTTCATTTTAAGGAAAAGACAATGAATAAAATATTGAAATTTAGCATAGTCATGACTCATGGTATGAACAAAGATCAACACTAATACATATAAAGAGGACGTAGGTATTTTATTGTTCGATTGTTTGGCTCCGAAAGACTTGTCCGATCTGAAAAATTATTTCACCATTATAATCTTACAATGCCCCTGATGAACAAAAAAGAGCGTTACTTAGTTATGTATGTCACTACGAGATACCAGACAACAATACCAATAAACGTAACCGAGCAATAGTGAAATTTAAACTAAGAAAAATCTAAGTACAAGAACAAGCACATCTAAGTATCAAGCACAGAACTAAAACGCAAACTCACTCCGCATTTAGTGGCCAGCCGATACACTAACTATCTTACTTTATCGTCTAGCGGCGACCATGATGAATAAAATACAACGATGATATAATGATCGCGTTCTGTGTACGCTTGATCAGTCAGTATCTGTAGTGACAGCATGCGGAGCGGTCTGGTGCTGTGTTTGTGCCTGTGTCTGGGCGCGCGGGGCGAGGGCGGCGAGCGCGAGGCGCGCCTGGTGCGCAGCCCGCAAGGCCCGGTCAAGGGCTACAAGGACCCCGGCGACAGCATATTCGTCTTTTACGGGATCCCCTATGCTACAGCGCCTACGGGAGCTGACAGATTTAAGGTATCTATCTACTTACAATATTCAACTCAACGCCTACATCCTTGACAGATATTAATTGTAATGAAAATACAAAAATAATTTTAGTCAAGTGTTTAGTAGTTAATAAGTTTACGAGTGGAAAACATTTTAAAAAATCCTAAACCCTAGATCTTTTTTGCCGACTGATGATAGTGTGATAATCTGTCTAGACAATTCTTTATTACAGTTTGAAAATATAATAATTTTACATAAGCAGCTGCTTATTTTAACAATTGATAAATGTTTATCATCTAGTGTCATTTTATTTATTTGATATCTATAATTGATACACCTTTTTGAAGTACAATATTGCGTAAAGAAGTGGTTGTTTGTAAAGGTAAAATAATTCAGTAAATTGAATGATTTATTGGTTTAAAGCAGGAAAAGATTCTAAATAACCTTAGTAGAGAAATCAGTAGCCCGTACACAACAACATAGTAAATGTCTTGTGTTATCGTCATGCGATAGATATGAAATGTAATTAAAGAAATTATAACATCTAAAGTAAAATAATCGAAGTAATATTATTTAACATAATTACCTATACAGTGTAGTACCAGTACCTTACACGTGCATTATATTATTTGTTACAGGCGCCTCTTCCTGCCTCAGCATGGTTAGACCCTTTGGAAGCCGTAGATGATACTATTATATGTCATCAAGCCACGCTTAATAATACTACGAGTATGTTCCCAAATAAGATCGAAAAAGAGAACTGTCTCGTGGCAAATGTTTTCGTCCCTGACACCGACCAAAAAAAACTACCAGTTGTGGTATATGTGCACGGAGGAGCATACCAACTCGGCTTTGGAAATCTGTTTCTACCCAAAAACTTAGCAAGAAGCAAGAAAGTCATTGTAGTAACATTCAACTATCGCCTCGGAGTTCACGGATTTCTTTGTTTAGGCACTGAAAAGGCACCAGGAAATGCTGGAATGAAAGATCAAGTAGCACTTTTACATTGGGTCAAAAAGAATATAGCAAGCTACGGGGGAAACCCAGAAGATATGACCATAGCAGGCTACAGTGCCGGCTCTTCAGCCGTCGATCTGTTAATGATTTCGCCCACTACAAGAGACTTATTCAATAAAGTAATTCCAGAAAGTGGATCTAACTTAGCCCCTTGGTCAGTTCAAATTGACCCCCTAGAAAATGCAAAAACCTTTGCTAGATCCATAGGCTTTGAAAATGTAGATGACGTGTACGCTTTGGAAGAGTTCTACACTACAGCGAGCTATGACGTGTTGACATCGGACCCCTTTTTTGACAGAACTGATTTTACTTTTGTGTTCTCACCATGTATAGAGCGTAATACGGAAGGTGCTTTCCTCACTGAGTCCCCATACAACATTTTAAAGAATGGCAACTATAGAAAAGTGCCATTACTTTACGGTTTTGCTGGAATGGAGGGTTTACTGCGAATTGATTTATTTGATTTGTGGAAAGATAAAATGAATGCGAATTTCTCTGCTTTTCTACCACAAGACTTACAATTTGAAAGTGAAGAAGAAAAAGCAACAGTGGTCCAAAAAATCAAGGAATTTTATTTCGGTAAAAAACCAGTCATTGGAGATGAAGAATCTGTATTATCTTACATAAATTTTATGTCAGATTTATATTTCACATATTCTACTTTAAGAGCTGTGAACATGCACGTAAAAGCAGGACATGACAAGATATTTTTGTATGAATACAATTTTGTTGAAGATTCTACGCCTGTCATACCCTATACCAAGGACCAGCGAGGAGCCAACCATTGTGCTCAAACTAGTGCTGTATTTGACGCACCTAATTGGCTAAGTCAGAAAGACGAGAGCAGTATCTCAGAGGATCTGAAAAACATGAAGAAAGTAATTAGAGAACTATGGCTTAACTTTATGACAACGGGGTAAGCTATCCTCAATTGAATTCCAAACATTTTAACGCTCAGTATTTACTTAAACTACATAATTATTTTGCCTGTTCCCAGGAGTCCGGTGCCGGCGGGCTCCGGGCTGCCCGCGTGGCCGGCGGCGGGCGCGGGCGGCGCGCCGCACATGTCGCTGGCGCGCACGCTGCGGCTGCGCGGCGCGCTGCTGGAGGAGCGCGCGCGCTTCTGGGACGCCATCTACGAGCGCCACTACCGCGCGCCCGCGCCGCCGCCGCCGCCGCCTGCCAGGCGTTCCGAACTTTAACACTTACAAATAAGGTAATTTAATAGTAATATTTAAGACAAGAAAAAACCTAGAGAACACTTTAAATAAATTGTAAATAATTTAAACAGTTTTATTATTTACCTTACCTAAATCCAAATGAAATGTACAATAGGCAAGGATCAATTTATCTGTTTAATTGATAACCATGACTCACTGATCAATCAATACAAAGCTCCACTGTTGAACGGACATTGTGCTGAAAGGCACGGAGATTATTATTAAAAGTTAGGAATCAAAGCAAAGGATTTTCCGTAATTTAATTTTCCCCTTAGAAAATTAAATTGGGGACATTAGGGTTCAATGTTTGCATGGAAAAACTTTAACAAACTTAATTTTTTTTATCGAAACTTAACAGAGTACCTACCTAGGTACTTACTGATAACTTCATAAAATACAATAAATTTTTCTTTATTACCTTGATAATCAGTTTAATTCATTAGTCCAGTCATTTGGTACTTTTACTTGGAAAGTTTTCCGGGAGTTTTGAATGGAAATTGGAAAGGAGTAATTGTCAAAAACCTTCTATTATTTCAATAGCAGCTCGAGCGGTAACTGTACGAGGTCGCAAAGTTGAAATTCGGAAAAAGCACATCAAAATCTATAACTACCAATTTTCAAAACTCCCGGAAAATATTCCAGGTAACCACGTTAATTTGTACCAAATGACTGGACGACATAGATTTAATTAATGAATTATTACTGGTTTGCGGCATCACGCTGCCAACGTCAACGCCCGTGTGCTATCTTTCTTATGGGATGAAATCTAAAAAAACTTGAAACACGCGTTTATTCAGTTTGAACTGTATAGTTTCGGATAATAGTCTACTAATCTGTTTCCTCATACAAACTTTGGACCCCGTCTCACCTCCTTTTATGGGCTACATTTTGAAAAATATTTTCTTAGACCCCTAGACCTTTTAAGGAACCTATGTGCTAAATATCTTTAGCCCTATGTCTCTAGCCCAGCGGTTCAGGCTCTGTCAATCAGTCAGTGGAGATAATAATAGTAACAGTCGGCCGTTTGGTGTAGTGGTTCAGAACCTCAGATCATAGAAGAACGGACTACTATGCCGAGAGGTCCCGGGTTCGATTCCCGGCCGGGCAGAAATTGAGATGATTAATTTTAATTTCTGTAACGGGTGCCTGGCTGGGTGTTTTCTATGTATAATCTAAATAAATAAAATGTTTATATCCGTTGTCCAGTACCCATAGTACAAGCATTGCTTAGTTTGGGACTAGAAGCGTAGTGTAAAATGTCCAAGGATATTAATTTATTATTATTTATTAGTAGCTAATAGTAGGTAGGGATGTTATGGATATGTAGTTTCGGTTATGGATACGGTTACGGATATAGGAATAATATTATACCGGTTTCGGTTACGGTTATGGATATTTTTTTATTTCGGATATCCGAAAGTTTCGGTTACGGTAACGGATATCCATAACATCCCTGGTAGGTACATACTTTGAATTGAATTGCTGTATGATTGCGATTAATTACGCTTGTCGGAAATGGAACATCACAGCTTACAGACTCCATGTCACTCAGAGAGCTACGAAAAAGTTGATGCTTGGGTCATTGAAGGGGTAAAAGTCGGAGTGATATAATTTGGCAGAAAACCAAAGTACTTACCTAGATAATGAAAATCCTCGTAGTCTAAAAGTATAACAATAGCTTTCGAAATTTGCTTAGTACACGATATAAGTTCATTTTTATCCTGTGTCAAAGTTGAAGTACAAAAAAAAATTCAGTTGAACGACTTTGTTGCAATTCCTACATGTCTTGTGTGCTCACTAAAGGCGGGGGCCTGGCCGTCCCCATTGACCAGTGGGTGTGCGCAAAGCATTTCCCGACG